ATGTATGAAGCACAAATGTGATATAGTTATTTAAAATATAAAATACTTTAAAATGAATGTAAAGAATGGGAAAATATATTTTTTGCATGAAAACAGACTACTTACAAATGTGCTATCTCAGGAAAAAAAAGAATGAATAACCATATATAAAATTGGTAAACTATAAATTGTCTGTATTTCCTTGCTGGTTTTAATTTTAAGGAAGCATTTACATGAAAAGAAAAAGGGATCCTAGTAGTCTGAATTTCCTCTCAAGTATGCTAGAAAACACTTTCTGTGAATTTACAGTTAACTGCAATAAGAAGTGGGTTAGCATTCAAGTAAGGTCAATACCCCAAATGAGAAGCTCTTCAGTTAGAACACATTATTGGTTGTAACACAGAAGCAGTAGATAAATATTTGAAATATGAGCACTTCTAAACTTGGTCCCAAATGGAAAGGGTTTCATGAGGTGACGGTGGCTTTTAAACATTCATTTGACTGATTATTCTAATTTACCTTGTTAAATCACTGCAACAGTTGCATGGGGGAAAATGGATATTTTTTGAAGAATTGCTTATTCTACTTTCAATTTTTAAAAATTGAGGGGATTAAAATATTACTTTTTAAATATACATAAAAGTACCTTAACTGTAATTACATTTTCAGTTGCTTTGTTATAATAGCATGTATATTAAATATAAAATGCATTTATGAAAATTTTTGTAAAAAATAAAAGATTTTTCATTTCTCAAAGTTGCTTATAATTACTATTTTATATATTTATATAATATAATCCCCTCATGTGAATATATTTGGTAATTATCAATCACAGTTAGTGCTTATGATAAACACAGTATCAAGCTATATTACTAATCAGTATACTTTACATTCGTATTCTACGTCCTCTGTTAACGTTCCACAAACTCCAAGAACTTATGGTCCATCCAGAGAAGAGCTCCTTTGCCCAAGCCACTGTTGGAATTTTTGCTATTGTCAGATATCGCCTGAATTTAAATCATTTTTATGAATACGTAACAAATAACTGTCTTCAAATTTTCCATTATGGTGGCCTTTAAAATACCATTTCCGTGTCTTTTACTCATATTCAGAATAATGGATACGATTTCTTAAAATGATGAATTCTGCTGTGTCCAAGATATGCAGATTCTGCCTTCTCCATATGTTTGCTATCATCCGTTCCTCCCTATTATCACAGCTATTAGTGTAGTTTGTGCCACCCTTATCTCTTTTCTGGAATATTACAGTGCTTTATTAACTAGCCTTCATGTTTCCACTCCAGCATCCTCAAATTTCGCCATCCACATTTCAGCCAGGGCAATCTTTCTAAATTGAAAATCTAGTTATGCCACTTTTCTGCTTAATAGTCCTTCAGTGACTTCCCATAGTTTCCAGGATAAACTTCAAACTCGCTGGTTCAGCACACAAGGACTAGCATCTCTTGTACTCCCTCCTCCATGGAGCCTTGGCTCCAATCATACTCATTACTTTTTGTAGTTTCCTAAAAGCATCATACTTTCTTGTGCCTGCATGCCTTTATACATATAGTCCCTTTCTCCTAGAATGCCCTTTCCTCTAAGTCCCCTAACTCCTACCACTCATCTTTTAAAACTCAGATTCCAGCATCCTTTTCTCTGAGAAGCTTTCCACGTGGTTGATTGGTTGATGATCCTTTTGCCCCACCCCCACTTAGACTGAGTTGCTTGAAGTTTTAGGCCCAGTGCAGCTCTGGCTGATAGCAGATGCTAAAGAAATGCGTATTGAAGGAAAATCCCCTTGGTCCTTTTTCATATGTTGCATAGCATTAAGACTGCAATACCTGAAGGTACATTTCCTCTATCACTGTAATTTATTCCATTCTTGTCATCCAAGCAAACATAAACTGGTTTGCAGTTGGACTCCCATAGTTCATGGATAGCACCACAAAGATGCTCAGTGGGTTACTCCATAAGAAAACATCATTCAAAAAGATTTCCTTTGGGCTCCGGGGAATCTCAAACCCACAAACTGGCTGTTTCTCCAAAAGATTTATTCAGAAATCTCTTTGACATTTGTTTTCCCATGGAAGTTAATATCTCCATGACTGTTCTGAGCCTAGTCACATCCACCATGTGTTGAACTGAAATGCTGATTACTGAGTTCTGGGTCTAGGTATGGAAGCAGTGCAATGGGGAAATGGAATAAGTTTGAACACTCATGACTGAATGCTTGCACTGGTGTTTGCAGCTTTGGAAGTGGAGTAGGGGGAGATAGATGACTGAATTTGAGATATGTCTGCCCTACCTCATCCTTTTGTAGGAGACACGTTTCTTTCCCCCTTTATAGGTTGACTCTAGGTGAAGTATCAAAGAGACCAAGTCTGTCTCTAGTTCCTTCACTTCCCCTTGCTACCAAGGAATTCAAGCTCCTGTCTTTGCTCCCCCTACTTTTCTCCTAGCCATGCGTTAGGAAGAACGGGAGTATGACAGGTGCAGCAGCCAGATGCCAGGAAAACCATGTTCCCTATGCCAATCATCTGTTTTAAATAGCTTCCCTACACTCTGGTTCCCTCAGTGGCAAAATGAGGGGGCATCTAGATCATCTCTAAGGACCCTTTTGGCTAAAGAAATCATATCAAAGTTTATTTCTGGTTTTGAAACCATATATATGAATTCCCACAAACCTATGGGAATTACTTGATGACACATCAGTGAATGTAATTCAGTATAGTGAGACAGAGTTCTAGGGAACAGGACCACCAAATGGCAGACCAGCTTTTGGTTTAACCTATTTTCATTTTGCAATGTTTCTTCCATTTCTGGGCCTAAGGCACCCCAGACTCTAGACCTCCTGAATGTCATTTAAGAACTCTGAGTTTTTTCACAACAGCCCCCAAAGAGAGAGGGGGGAGCATAAAGGCCTGGCTTGTAAACTAGAGACTGCCTGCCAGCATATTATGGACATGACTAAAGAAAGGATGTTGAAAGATGATAATTACTTTATACTGCAGCAAGGCTGTGAGATCCTTAACTGAAGGACTATTTCCGATTCACTTCTGTATCTCCAGGACCTACCACAGTGCTTAATACAGATTAAGGTGTTCAGTAAATATTGATTCAGTGACTGAAAACACTAGGTAAAACCAGGCAAGAATGCCTACCGTCTGTTCTTTAGAAAGCTAGATTTTGATGATTAATTATCTAGTAAATTGATTATCACAAATGTTTCTATGAGCAGATTTTAAATAAAATATTCGGAGTGATTATATTACAAAAATACTGTGGATATATATGTGCTTATATTTGCACATACAATATTGAGGTGTTACAGAAAAATCTTTGAGCTTTTCACAGTTTTCTCTCTTCAAACTGCATTTTAAATGTTATGAAATATTTCCACTTTTTAGAATAAAAAGATGCTTATTGTTACATGCATAGTATGCTCATCTGATGTCGCCAGATGGTTCAACCTAGGGTATGGAGAGAAAGGGAGGTAATTCCAACATGTCTCTAATTGTCAGAGCAGAAGAGTTTGTTACCGAGCAATCAGTGGGCTCATGGCCTGATGAATGTAGAGGCTAATGCCACGGCACTGACTTTTGGGGAAAGAAAAGCTTTATTGCAAATGGGTTGGCAAGGAGACAGGAGGAAATCCTCAAATCTGTCTTCCTAAGCTGGGGTTTGGGTTGGTTTTTATAAGCATAGGGTAATGAGACGTGATCTGATTGGATCTTGTAATGAGGTGACGCTGGGAGGCATGATCTGACTGGATCCTGCTATGCGATGAAGCCAGAGCTCAACCTGGTTGGATCCTGCCATGGCATATCTGCTTCTTAATTCAGTCCCTCCTCCTTGATCTGAGCACTTGGTTTCCCCTGTGGGTGCATGCTTAGTTCATCTAGGCATGCTCAGGTTACATGACCTGAGGATTCATGGCAACTGAAAAACAACTCGCAATTTTGTTACATAAAAGTTGAACCAAGGCTGGGCAAGGTGGCTCACATCTGTAATCCCAACACTTTGGGAGGCCAAGGCAGGAAGATCACGTGAGGCCAAGAGTTCAAGACCAGCTGGGATAACATAGCAAGACCCCATCTCTACAAAAAAAAATTTAAAAATTAGCTGGGCGTGGTGGCATGTGCCTGTAGTCTTAGCTACTCGGGAGACTGAGGTGGGAGGATCACTTGAGCCCAGAGTTTGAGGCTGCAGTGAGCTATGATTGTACCACTCCCTCCAGCCTGGGTGCCAAGCCAGACCCTGTCTCCAAAAAAAAAAAAAAAAAA